TGAGGGGTTGGGACAGTGCCCGTGTCCTTGGCACAGGGATTGGCACTGTCCAGTTTGTGGGGCYGGTCAGTCAAAGGGCTGACTGCACCCCCAGCTCCAAAAAACCCAGCCCTAATCCTGTGCTGGGGATCCCCCTGAGTGTGGGGTCACCTCAGGGGTGTCAGGGGTACCTCCAGCACCCATCCATTGGGATTTACAACAGCAGCACCCCAGGGCTCTGGGAATGACCCTGCTCAAGGGCAAGGAGCAGCCCCTGGCTCTGCTTCCACTGTCCCACRGTGCCYCAATCCCRTCCAACCCGGCCTGGGACACTCCCAGGGGCAGCCTGTGCCAGTGTCCCCAAATGTGATGGCTTTTGGGATCATTTCCCCCACCCTCCCATCTCCAGGAACCGCTTCCATTTCTACACCAGAGTTTTGGGGCATGGAGCAGTGAGAGCTGGGACCGACCCCATTGACCCTACAGAGCAACAGTTCAGTAAAACTGAACTGGAGACGGAGTTTGTACGGTGCCCTCAGAGCCCCTCTGGGAGTGAGGCTGAGGCTGCAGTGACCCTGAGCTGTTTTTGGGGCAGCAGAGCTGTGTGGGGTCACAGGACAGCACGAGCTGGGCTCTGGCCAGGAGCAGGGCTGAGGGATTGTGATGACAGATGGGCCACTGCCCTGTCCCTGTGCCAGGACCCTGTGCCGGGAGATGGGGACAGGGACAGGGAGAGGGATGGGGACAGGGACAGGGATAGGGACAGGGATGGGAATGGGGACAGGGATAGGGAGAGGGATGGGGACAGGGATAGGGATGGGGACAGGGGCAGAGATGGGGACAGGGACAAAGGGACAGGGATAGGGACAGGGATGGGGATAGAGGGACAGGGATAGGGACAGAGGGACAGGGATAGGGACAGAGGGACGGGGACAGGGATAGGGACAGGAATGGGGACAGGACAGGGATAGGGAGAGGGATGGGGATAGAGGGACAGGGATAGAGACAGAGGGACAGGGATAGGGACAGGGATAAGGACAGGGACAGGAATGGGGACAGGACAGGGATATGAACAGAGGGACAGGGATAGGGACGGGACAGGGACAGAGTCGGGAACAGGGATAGGGACAGAGGGATAGGGACAGGGATAGGGAGAGGACAGGGACAGAAGGACAGGGATAGGGACAGGGACAGAGGGATAGGGACAGGACAGGGATAGGGACAGGACGGGAACAGTCCCAGGGCAGTTCCCATCCCCAGCAGTGCCTGCGGGGTCCCAGCTCTGCCACCACCCATTGGGGACATCGGGACAGCTCTGGGGACACGGCAAGGGACCCCGTCACCCAGCAGGGAGGAGAAAACACAGCCCAGCCAAGGCAGCCTGCAGCCAGTGCTCTGGGGCCAGGGAAGGGCAGGGAATGGCAGCCAGGAAAGCTCCCAGCACCCAGAGCACCCCGTGGATCCAGGATTCCCTCTGAGCAGCGATTACACTAAAAATAGAGCTGCCCTTGTTTACAGAGGGATATCTAAAGGGTGAGCTCACCCACCCAAATCCACGCTGCTGCTGCTGGGGTGGGACAGCCCYGAGAGGGGACGGTGACATTCCCTGCCCCAGTTAGGCATTCTGTGTTCCTGGCACTAACCGCCTCACCCCCACTTCCACACGGATTTTAGGAGCTGTTTTCCATGTCCTGGCTCTGCACAGAGTCCCCTGGAGGGTGGTGGTGAAAATAAAACACCAAAATTTCCTGCACAGCCCGAGTTCAGCCCCAAAATCCCACCGGTGTCAGATAAACAAGCTCCCTAAGAAATGGGGAAACACTTTGGGATCAGAGAGCRAACAGGGCTGGAAGTTTCTGCCATCAGAATTTTCAGGAGTCAGAGCCCTTCCAGGCACATTCCCTCTGCTCTTCCCATCCCACAATAACATTTGTCTTTCCTGAAGGAGCACAGCACAGTCAAAACTCTGAACATGAGAATGGCCAAAAACCCCAATCTCACCCACCAGGAAAAACCCCCCACACAACAAACAGGAGGAGAGCGTTTCCCATAAAACTGCAGGAGGAATTCCAGCGGCTGCTGAGCATCTSCTGGGATTTCTGAGGGCTGCAGGTTTGATTTCTTTGATCCCAGAGGCTGCCCCGCCACGCAGGGGCTGCGGGATCCTCCTGGCACAGCTCCCTCACCTCGGCTGAACCGCTCCAGGGAAAAAAAACGGGGAAAGCTGCACAGCTCGGCTGTGAATCAGGGCAGTGAGACACAGATCAGRCCGTGCTGCCCTAATTCCTGCCGTGTTTTCCTAAGGCTCCAGGTCCTGGCAGCAGCAGCCAGGCTGAGCTGGGCAGTGCCCATCAGGAATCACTCGAGGAACGGGGATTTTAGCATGACTGGACACACCAGAGCCAGCAGCACCTCTGCAGAGCTTTCCCTAATTGGGATAATGAGTGTTAGAAAGCTGAGGGATGGCAGGTGGACAGAGAGGGGGTTTTTGTAGAATCCCAGCCTGGTTTGGGTTGGAAGGAACATCAAAGCTCATCTTGTTCCAATTCTACAGGCAGGGACACCTTCCACTGTCCCAGGGTGCTCAGAATCCATTCCAGCCTGGCTTTGGACACTCACAGGGATCCAGGGGCAGCCACAGCTTCTGGAATTCCATTCCAGAGCCTCCCCTTCCTCACCATAGCAAATGTTCCCTTTACACCTAATCCAGCTCGAGTTATTCATTATTTATCGCTCTGGCAGGAGAAATCCCAGTTTTTGCTCTCCAGTTCATCCCTTCCCCGCTCCAGGACCTGCTCCAGCTTCATTCCAAGAGAACTCAAGGGGAAGCCAGAGGYTTTCAGAGGGAGATTTGGCTTTCTGAGGACAACAGGGTCAACATTCCCTCTGTCCCTCTGCTGCTTCAGGCATCTCCCTGAACCTGCTCCACCGGCACAGGCAGGGAACTCCCCATTCCCACAGGAACTGGGACAAACTGATAAACTCAACACTAGAACAGGACTTTACCCCTCATTTTACAGCCCTGTTCCTTTGAAGTCACCTCCYAGACACAATTCCTAGATGACAACARCTATAAACGCCTGAAAAGCAGCTGGAGGAACAAATCCATCCCACCTGGAACACGTCCACGATAAATGCACGGAACAGCAGCTCAGGAAAGGCAGGATGGGGAGAGCTGAGGCTGTGCCCAGAGCAAACAGCGGGAACAGAGCCTGACTCAGGTGTGCTGCTGATGCAACAGCCCTGGCAGGATTCCCAAAAAAAGGTAGGGCTGGATGGTGGAGGGGAGATGGAGCTCAGACCCAATCCAAGCCCCACACAGAACTCACAGAGGGTAACAGGAATTTGCTCAACCCCACAGCCTCAGCAGCTTTTCAGGTTTCTGGAATGAGCACAGGAATTGTTGAGGAACCAGCACAGCTGCATTTATGGGGTCACACACACAGCACAATGTCCCTCCTGTCCCTTTCCCAGCCTCTTGTGGGATTTCCTGCTCTGCCCTGTGTAATTCCATGTGCACCTCTGGAATAGGGATAAACGTGTGGAAGGAGCTGCCCCGAAAGGACTGAGCTCATTAACTCGCCCTGAATTCCCCAGGGATTCCTGTTTGTGCTGCTACAGGACCCTGAAAATGCACAGCAGGTGGGAACCTGTGCAAAAACAAGGGGAAAATGAAGGGAAATCCCCTCCATCAGCAAACAGGGAATATGAACTGTTCTGTCATGCATGACTCTGTCTGTACCTCACATTTCACACTGAAACTTCCACACAAATGGAAGTTTACTGGCCTTTGTAAGGTGATGCTCCTGTTTGCCATCTGCCACTGCAGGATGTTGATTTTCCCTCACAATTCCTCCCAGAACAGCTCCTTCCCCTTCCCCATCCCCGAGCAAAAGCTGCTCCTTGCCCTGCTCATGAAGAGCAGGTGACACACAGGCAGTTTTCAGTTTTTTCTCAACTAGCCATGGTGGAAGCAGGTTTGGGGCAGAGACAAGACAAAATGAGCCAGTGGCCACCAAGGAACAAATCCCAGGGATGGCAGAGCCCAGGGAACAGGCACAGAACACTCCATGAGCTTCAAGGAATTGCTGCCAAAGCCCAGCAGAGCCTGGGAATCAGAGCTACTCTACACAGGCCAAACAAAAAATTAAATTATATTGACTACAGTGGTTTAAACCCACGGGAAAATCAATTTACCAAAGCAAGAAACCCCACCCATTTAACATTCCAGTGGTTGGGATGCCACAGCTTCTCCCAAA